AGATTACTCGGTCTTCGCAGGGTATTCTTCTCAGTCAGAGGAAGTATATTGGTGATTTGTTATCTTCGGCTCAGTTTGGCGACTGCATTCCAGTTACTACCCCCATGGAGGTTAATTTGCATCTCAGTCGTGACTCGGGCGTTCCTCTGGTCAATCCTTCTCAGTATCGTCATTTGGTCGGCAGTTTGATTTACCTGACGCATACTAGGCCCGATATTTCCTTTGATGTTCATGTGGTGAGTCAGTTTATGTCAGATCCCCGGGTTGATCACCTCTCTGCTGTGCATAGGATACTCCGATATTTGCAGGGTACTCGAGAGATTGGTCTTTTTCTTCCTGCTACTGGCGAGTTACGTTTACAGGCTTATTCTGACTCCGATTATGCTGGTTGTGTTGATACTCGGCGCTCGACCACAGGGTGGTGTGTTCAGTTCGGTGATGCTTTTGTTAATTGGCGTTGTCGGAAACAAGACAAAGTGTCCAAGTCATCGACTGAGGCTGAGTACCGCGCTATGTCAGATGTTGCCTCTGAGCTGGTTTGGATGCAACGTCTTCTCCTGGACCTTGGCGTTTCTTGCCCGTCTCCGATCACCCTTCATGTTGACAACACCAGCGCGATTCAGATCGCTGTCAATCCGGTTCTCCATGATCGTACGAAACATATTGAAATTCACATTCACTATGTTCGTGATCTTGTGCATGATGGGGTTCTTGTTGTTCGTCATGTCCCTTCCGCTAATCAGCTTGCTGACTTGTTCACGAAGCCGTTTCATCGTTCTCGTCATATGTTGCTATCGGACAAATTGATGCTTAGAGACCAGCATCAATTTGGGGGAGGCTGTTAGCGGGCTAGAGTTTTTGGGCTGTACTGGCGGGCTTGTATGATTTTGTTTGGCCCATTGTTATTTCATTTTGTACGTAGAAGAGTTAGCAGGAGAACACTAGCCCTAGCATGTACATACGTGAGCTAGGGTTAGAGGGAATATATATATGTGAACCTGTAGAGTATCGGATTCAAGGAAAAACCTAATAAGAGTATCAGCTCGGAGAGTTCTAACTCTCCCGTGGACTAGTCCCGATATCGGGGAAACCACGTAAACTGTGTGTCACGTTTTCTTCTTCGTTTTCGTATTAAGAGTGTTTTGATACTAGCTATCAGTTACATGACTACTTGTTAAAGATGTAGAATCAAAGTGACAATTGAAAATTCACAAAAGGTAATATGAAACAATAAGCTTGAACACCGGTGTTATGTCTTTGATTTTATTATCCAAACCTGATCTGTCATCGATTTGTGAAAATGTCAATTCATTTTGACCAAGAATTAGAACAATTCATATGTGTGGGGAGGTGAAAGGATGAAGTTCAATTCATTGAATTGATATGCACTTCAAAAACCAATATTACAGTTAGAGCATGGTCTCCATTCGATGTTTTTTTTTTCACTAATTACCTCATTAAGTGATCAAGAAAAGTTGATAAGTTTGTACTAGTTAATTACATTGTCAATTACGTATAGTTGAGAAAAGATATTTTAGTGGCGACAAGACTTGTTAATTACATGTCCAAGTTGATTAATGGAAAAGGGATAATGGGCATATGCGGTGATGGGGTCGGTCCAATTGATTATCCTATTCACCATGCATGTTTCTTTTATTCGTATAATTAACTCTTGGTAGGGCTAATCCGAACGGTACATGGATTGGTAGGTCCAGCCGACACCATATTGCCAAACAACTGCCACAAAAACATGGATGGTAAATCATCAACATTATTGTGGCATAATTATCATGTACATAAATGTCTATATGCCTTCTTCTTCCCTATCTGTTCTCGTCTCTGCAAGTTTTTTTTTTTTTTTTTTTTTTTTGAAAGATCGTCTCTGCAAGTTTTACATGTATGAGGTACGTCATATTGATAATTATGTGGAATGTCGGTTAATTTCTTCTAAAAATTTAGAGCATTATGTTAAATAAGGATACTGTGAATGGAATTGAAAGGATAATGAAAAAGATAATTGTGAGGGTTCGGAATAGAACTAAAAGAGAATAAATTATGTAATGAGAAAATTATATTGGAATTGAAGAATATATAATAAGACGGGTAGCTAGATCGAAAAGAAAATTAAAGTTCTTGTATATTCGATCTAATACGCCGAGGATTACATTATAAGTAGAGTATATAATGTCCAACACCACCCATCACTTTGTACCCGCTATTCCCATTATAAGTCTCAAGCCCAATCACTATTCCCATTAAGCCAAGGAAGGGAATGGATCAAGTCAGTAATCTTATGGTGAGTAACTATGAGTAACCCGTCCACATCAGCATGACATCAGCATCCTCTCTCTCTTAGAAAGCCTTTAATTTTCAACTCCTTAATCTTTGATGGACGATTTCTCACTCGTTTTAAGTCGAAATTTAATTTTTTTGCACAGTTAGATCAGATTAATTGTGCTCTTCAAAATGATATCCACTTTGATATATTTTTCGAACAAAAAAAATTGAGTCATTTTATACCAGTCTATACTATATGGTATTGACTGGTATTGAAATAAGAGCATACCTATGGTTTGAAAAGCGTACCATGGTGGTATGACACAAACCAAAAATATAAAATGGTTGAATACATGATAGTAGAAGTATATTAATTGTCATTTACGACTTTTAACATTGTATATCATTAGATACCATAAGATACCACCCCGTACCAGGGTGGTATTGTATGGTATTGTGTGGTATTTTTTGTCTTGTAATTTGTTCACCCAGAAATTTGTAAATCCAATAGATCATGATGAACTCGTCCCTGCTGTGCAAACGTTTTCAAAAACGAATTAAAAACGAAGAAGATACCATATGGTATGCAGTTGGTACCGAGAGGCCATAATTTTTTTTCCTCAAAAAATATTGAAAATTGATCTCATTTTGTAGAGCACGATGAACTCGTTCCATCTGTGTAAAAAAAATTAAAATTCGAGTTAAAACGAAAAAGATATGATTCAATTAAGAAAGCTAGTGAAAATAGAAATGACCTTTAATTCTCCATCCTTAAAACTGGATTTTCTAAATGAAGGGTCCAGATTTGATTATTGATGGGTGCATAACCCATGGTTATGCACCCTAACTTGAGCCCCCAGAAAGACCCATCAGTACCCTTTTTCCAAATTGGACCCAAAGGAAGGTATGATTGGTTTTTCTAACTAATTCAACCAAAAAAACATTAGATTTTTTTATAATAGTTCTCTGATTTTTTTTCTTCTTCTTCTTATTAAATCTAGATCTTAGTTAAATCGAATTTTTTCCTTGGTTGAAATTTTACTCAAAACATTATAAATGTATAACTAAACATGGGTTCAAAAAATCAACTATTCCTCTAACTAGCTTCTACTGGGATGGCAATTCCATCACAATGGTGAATATCCAGTTATGCACTACTCCTCAACTTTGTCAACAAAAAGAATTCCCACATTAACCGACTACAAATCTGTCTGAAGAATAAAAGAAAATGATGGGGTTTATTTTTTTACGGGAAACCTGATGAAACAAGAGCTGAGGTTACATTGTTTTGTAAACTCTGATCTACAAGAAAAATTGGTGGCCTATCAAACTAAATCATAGTCTCATTCCATCGACACTTTACATGTGTCATAATATGTGCAGCCACGTTACTTTCTCACGAGGCACGAATTGCCACTTTCCAGGGCTCAACTCGATCGTCAAGCTTACTTCTAATGCTTCTACACACCGTTCATATTTCGGACTTGTTCTCTCCTTATGTGTTCAAAAAACCAACGCTTCCTCCAACTAGTTTCTGATAGAATGACAATTAATCCATGGCAATTGTGGATATCTAATCCTCCCAACTTATTCAATGTGGAAGATTCCCGCATTGATCGACTATGGTACGTATATTAATTATAGAAAAAAAAATAGAAATGGATTTAGGACATTTAAATAAAGATAGTAAGGCAACCTAATAAAAACGAAAATAAGTTTTTAATAACCCACTTCAAACTCGACCCACTGTCATTCCTATTTTTCCTGCTTTGAAAGTTACATTTTTATTTTCTATACTATAAATGTTCTATCACTATGATAAAAAAAAGGGTTAATACCTTATTTTGGCCTGAACTATGATCATATAATCAACTTTGGCCCGTGGTTTCAGAAATTAACATCCTGGCCTCAACTATGCAGCATATAGACTCAATTGGCCCGACACATAGTTTGACCATCAATTTGGACGTTGACCGTTAGTCAACACGCCATGTCATTGCCTAGTCAGCCTAAAAATCATTAAAAAAATTATTTATTATCAAATTAACCAAAAACAAATTATAAAAAACATAAATTTTTTTTTATATTTTAAAATGATAAATTTTATAAATTAACCAAAAATTATCAAATTGTTTTATATTTTTAAAACTTCCCAAAAAAATATAATTTATATCATAATTTTTAAATTTATAAAATTTAATTTGATAATTTTTGTTAATTTATAAAATTTATAATCTTATATATCCCAAAAAAATTATTTTATAATTTTTGAATTTTATTTTTTGGTAAATTGGAAAATGACAAATAATAGAAATTAAGAAAATAATTTGAATTTTTTAATGATTTTTATGCTGATTAGGCAATGACATGACATGTTGACTAACGGTCAACAAAGTTGACCGTCCAAATTGACGGTCAAACTATGTGTCGGGCCAATTGAGTCTATATGCTGCATAGTTGAGGCCATGATGTTAATTTCTGAAACCACGGGCCAAAGTTGATTATATGATCATAGTTCAGGCCAAAATAAGGTATTAACCCTAAAAAAAAATGTTCTATCAGTAATTCAGTATTGTATAAATGATACGCTAAAATTAACCGCAATAGAACCTTCGCCCTCCGGCCCTATAAATTAGAAGCCTTCCATTCCCCCCCACCTTCACACCATCACAACCATAATTCCAACACAGCTCTTTCATACACCCAAAAAACCAGCCAATACAATGGCCGCTTCGTCCTCCTCCTCCGCCGCCGCCTTCCTCGCCGCCGTAGTAGCCATTTCACTATTGGCCTCCCCGTCGTCGGCCTCCAGGAGATCTCTCTCCGGCGCAACGACCAACACGGAGTTCATCCGTACGTCGTGCAGCGCCACCACGTACCCTCAGCTCTGCTACAACTCCCTTTCCGCCCACGCCACCAAAATCCAGACCAGCGCCAGGCTCCTCGCCTCCACCGCCCTCGACGTCGCCTTATCCTCCGCCAAGTCCACCTCCGCCGCCATGATCAAGCTCCAACAGTCCCACGGCCTCAGCCCACGCCAGTCCGCGGCCATGCTCGACTGCGTCGAGGAGCTCGGCGACTCCGTCGACCAGATCCGCCAGTCCATCGACGAGATGGCCGGCGCCAGGGGCGCCGGCAGGTCCCCCTCCGACTTCCAATTGATGATCAGCGACGTCCAGACGTGGGTCAGCGCCGCCTTGACCGACGAGAGCACGTGCAACGACGGGTTCGCAGAGATGGCCGGAGAGACGAAGACGGTTGTGAGAGGGAAGATTGAGACCATCGCTCATCTCACCAGCAACGCCTTGGCTCTCATCAACGCCTACGCTACTCTCCATCACTAGACCGTCGCCGCCGGTGATTTAGCTGCTACGTACTGTGAGGGGTAATATGGTACGATTGTCGTCTGTATAGATAAAGCTGGTTGGATCGTTGAGTAATTGAGCGGTATATAATTGTGTGGCGGTTGGCTTGGCTTTCAGGCTTCAGCTAGTAGGGCAAGTTAAGTTTCTATGCTGTAAACTGGTAAGTATAGTAGCTAAATTGTGAGTTTTCTGTAATCTAGTCTCACCCTGCATGTAACGCAAATGAAGTTGTGGTAATGATCTGTCAAACAAAATCTGCGTGCGTAATGCACATAAGTCTCGATATGCTTGCTTCGATCATGTAGAATTGTGTATTTATGAGGGAACAAGATTACTAGATTGTGACAGTTGTCTCACATGCTATGTCTGCCTGCCACCCCCGTGATCTCTTGCAGAAGGTGGAAATCCAAGCCCAAATCCCCATTCACATGCATAAGAAGAATCTCTTGTGACTGATACACAAGGAAAAGCTTTGGTTCCTTAGTGGCCTACTCTTCAGTGCTTAGATTAGCCCTTGACCATGTTAAAAAAAGAACAACATAGTTGCGTACTATCCCAGGTCGTAATCCTAAAAATTATACTACTAATCAAATGGGTACACGTCTAATTTGGAAACTAAACTAATCTGGTACCAGCATACGTTCTTGTCTTCTACGAAGGCTAATTATATCGTCATCTAGACATCTACTGGACTACTATTGTTTCTCGCCAACCATCTCAGCCTGCTAATTATATTCTTATCAACTCAGCCTATTAGGTAACCACACAATGGGCCCAGGTAGTCACGTGTATACGGCCCGCCCAGCTAGGCTGTACTAACGAGCGAGCTACAGGCCCACTTAACCCCCCCCCTCCCGCTAAAAGAAAGAGAAAGGGGGCAAAGTTCGCAGCTGCTTTTCAGTTCTTTATATCGTCCTTACCATTACAATGGCAATTGGCAACCCTCATAACGCTCAACAATGGTTACTGAGTACATTCAAGCAAGGAAAAGTGGAAAACATATCAACTAACTTCATTACGATACACTGTGAATCATCCAACCACCTCCACAAAGAGAATTTTCGTTCGAGCTGAGTTAAATGTGTGTTGCGTAAACTGAACTGTATTTGGGAGGGTTACAGGAATACCTATTAAGAAGATTTCTTGGGTGGAGACATATTACCGATTAGAGAAATCGTCGTGACAACTGCGAGTATCTGCACCAGCAATCCTGCGGGGGCGAAACAGAAAAGAATTGAGACTTCTGATGTTGATGGCGGCTAATATCAAGTCAAGCTGAGGACACGCTATGTAACTCACCAGTTAACAGAAGAGAAACCTCTATGACCTCGAATTTCTTCGCCTGCCACTCACTTGGGTTCGACATGACCTGTTCGTCAAAGACGCCAGATTAGACCAGTTCCAACAGCAGGCATACAATGTGATCCAATGTTAAGCTGTGGCTTCCTTCAATTAAACTGGGGCTTCCAATCGATACTATAACCAAATTCTCCAATCAAATCATAATAGATGTGGCCACAATTTACATTATCTTCTCTATGGTTTCTGTTCTAACGATATGATATCCCTTCTATTTCTATATAGCTCCAGGAGATTATGGACCACTGCAGTCGTTCACACAGCTCATATATTTAAACAACCTAGAAGATCAACAAATTATGGAACATCACTTGGATCCTTTCACTCTGATTCAGTTATATTGTTTGTTCAGGGTGATCATCCTATAATACTGCAGTATGAAGCAAACAAGGAACATTTCTCAAATTAGCCTCCCACCTGTTGAAACAGGTAAAGCCTAAGAATCAAACGAGGCCATATAATTTACATTTTCTTCCCCTTTAAACACTGCAGTAAGATACCAGGTTTCCTGTCCCTAAATGAACTGTCTAATGGTTGATCCCTTTACCAGTAACTCACTTGAACCAGGGTTCTACTCACTACTTCTAATCCCCCATTCCCCTTAGTTCAAATCAGAATACAAGGAATTTCCATGAAAGTGAAGTAGCTTACCTCTAGTGCTGAACCATTGGTAAATTTATCAAAGAACGAGATTAGCAGTCCGATGGATGAAGCAGCCACGTACACTCTCAACAGACCAGCTTTGCTGCGCCTAAGACCTTCGAAATATCCACCCAGAATGCATTTATACGTTAAGCAAATCAACTTCAACAGACCTCCAAAATCCAAACAGGAAGGAAGAGAAGAGCATACCTACTTCCCCGATCAGCAATGAGAAGAATCCAATGGCAGTGGAAGAAATAGCCAAAGAATCTGGAATCTTCTCCTTCGAAATCGACATAGCTAAAGACAATAGCCCTACCAACTGAATCACCACCTGCATTATCCATCCCAAGTCAAATAAGAGGTAGCAAAGTTGCGATAACTGATCTACACAGCAGCCGATGTAATCTGGAAGACACCTAACTTGACATTGCTTGACCGAAAAAGCTTAAAACGATCTAATCAACGCCGGCAATTAGGTCAGTCATGCCATTAACCCTAATTCTACACTCCACGATGATATTCCAATTTCACTCTACTGCCTCCGAAAACCATGGAATTCCACTAGCAAGTAGCGAAAATCGAGAGCGTAGCAGGAAAATTCCCAGGCGAGAGACTAATTCGACTCTAGCGCGGAAAGTGAGAATGGATGAACTAGCGCACCTGAGTTAAGATCAGCGCATGGAGGCGAGACTTCCCCTTTGCCACCTTCGTATAGCCTGGAAATTCAGTAAAAAAATCGGTCCGAACTCATGGCATAAACCGTCTGCAAGCTACCGAAGATCCCGCAAACATTTGGCAAAAAGAAGCAGCTATCGAAGGAATGGAAAAGGAGCCGAGATTCGATTAAAATGGATCGTCAAAGAGAAAAAAAGGAATTACGAGAATCGACGACCATGCGGTAGGAGAAATCGGAGCCGTCAGTTCCCGACGGCCGCCCATATTTCCTCTGTTGCATCTTTTCTTCTTCGTTGTCGTCGTCGTTCTCTCACCTCTGCGCTCCCAGATGCCGCCGGTCTCGTGATTCCCGGAGGGGTAATTTGGGAATATGAGATGAAAAAGACGGGATTGATATGGGAAGAAGAAACCACACCGGGGTAATTGGGTGTAGGGGTGTCGGTTCGGGTCGGGTTCGGTTACCCAAACCGAAACCCGAAAATCCAAAACCGAACCCGAACCCGATAAGGACTTGCGGGTTTCGGGTAATCGAAATCCGAAAATTCCTTATTGGGTTCGGGTTCGGTTAAATCAAAACCGAAACCCGAACACAAAAAATTACGGGCTGAGTTCTATTCATTGGAGATTTTTATCCGGAACCCGAAAAACCGATAAGCAAAACCGAACCATTAAGTATGAAAAACCGAAAACTAAATCCCAAAAATCAAAACAAAAAAACAAATATGTACTCATACACTCATATTTAATCCTATTTCTCTCCTTTTTATTGAACAAACGGCATAATAATGGTAAATGGCCTTTACAAATTATTGGTTGGCATGTGTGTCAAAAGAAACAAACAAAAAAAATATTTGTTGATAAATAATTTTATTCTTATTGGTTTCTTAATTGTTTTTATTGGTTTTTCGGTTTTAACCAAACCAAAACCATTAAGTTGCTTATTGGTTTAAAACCAAAAAACTGAAACCATTAGCTTTTCAATTGGTTTGGTTTCGGTTAAAACCAAAACCAAATGGACAGCCCTATTCGTTGGCCTGGGTCCGGTTGAATGGGTTGAGGATTAATGGTCCAAATATTTTAGTTTGATTTATTCTTAACCAAAAGAATTAGAGTGACTAAAAATGTTAAAATTGTATTGATAAGGGAACTTAGTGGAATAAATAAAAAAAGTAAAAAATGAGAGAAAAATAACTCACAAATCAAGATATATAATCTATCTGATTATGATAGATTTGAAATCTCTGAAACTAAGCTACGATACAAAAATAGCAAAAAACGTAGCTTTTCCTAAATCTATAGATTCAACGAATCTATGATCCAAATTCTTTTCTCAAAATGAGCACTTAGAGATTTCAAATTTCCAAAATCTGGAGATGATTAGAGAACTATATATTTTGATTTGTGAGATTTTCTCTCCCCTAATTTATCCCTTGCTTTTTTATTTATCTCACCAAATACTTTTTTTTTTTTTACAAATTGGGGCACTTTCATTCCAAATCGAAACAGTGGAAGTACAGTTGATTACAACAAAGGAGACAAGAAATCGGCAACAATGATCCAATCACGTGGGAGAGCACCTAATCTAGCATTACGAGCAACCCAGTCGGCCAACAGATTGTGACGTCTAGGAACAAACATCACTTTCACCCACGGAGCCGAGACGAGAATGGTCGAGACACGAGCAAGTAAAGCCCGACATTGCCAAGGCCACTGGTCCGGAACAAGCTTAAGAGCATTCACCAAAATCTGACAATCAGATTTGACACAAGCTGAGCGTTGTTCCCGAGCCGCCAATGTCACTCCATTGAGAATAGCATAAACTTCCGCCTGCATCGAATTGGAACAAAAGAATCTCTCAACCTTGCCGTCATACACCTGACCGTGGGAATTAGCAACTGTAATCCCACAAGCCGCCATCTGTGATTCGGAAACAAAGGAACCATCACAGTGCACAATCCTATGAAAGACACTAGGCGGTGGTGAGGGGTTTGATCGGGATCCCCTAGGTTGAGTAGGCTCCATAGCTGAATGAAAAGAAGAGAAAGAACGATCACAATTTCTAGCTTCACCCAAGCCTAGAAAATCTCTCCCAGCTAACGCAGCCGTTGAGGGCGGGGAAATAGCCCTGTTCTCGAAAACGAACCCGTTCCGAGCAATCCAAATATTCCATAAGCAGCATATAATCCTCTTGATCTCCTCATCCGACACATTCTCTCTAAGGGAGAAGAACCACTCCGCGAATGTAGTCTCGGGTGTCGGTGGGATGGAAATCCCTCCAAAGCACTCCCATGTACTCTTAG